GAAATTAACAGAGAAAGTGAAAGATTTAATTATTGAACACTGTAAAAGTCTTCCACATTCGAAATCGCACTATACTAATTCGAACTTAAATTATTTTCAAGATAGTAGATTAACTTTAAAAACTTTATATGAAAAATTCATTGAATATTATAAACTGCAAACCGGAGTTACAAATTCACCGTTCTCGGAATCGACATACTATAAGTACTTTAATCACAGTGTTAATTTTACTTTCGATGTACCACGTACTGATTGTTGCAATGTGTGTTATGAGAGTGACAAGTTGAGGAAAGAAGGCGATTCGGAAATCCAAAATCATAAACGAAATGTCACGGAATATATAGATTTAAAAAAACTTATGTTGTCCAACTATAAACAAAAATTATGTTTGGAATTTGATTTTGGACAAAACCTTGCTTTACCTAAACTTCCGGTATCAGCGCAGTTTTATTTAAGACTAATTTGGCTGCATATATTTAATGTTCATGTACATCGCGGTAAAGAAATTTCACCAAGCTACATGTTCTTCTTCATGGAAGGTTTCCTTAAAAAAGGGGGGAATACTGTATTTAATTTTGTGCTGCATGTAATCTTAGAAGAATTTAAAAAAAACTATTATAATGAAATATTTTTATTTTCGGACTCATGCAGCGGACAAAATAAAAACTATAACATGATGGTTTTTTTATCGATACTTTCTGAAAAATTGCAGGTTCCGATCAAACATTTATACCCAGTTCGCGGACATTCTTTTTGTCAATGCGATCGAAATTTCGGTATTTATGGACGAAAGAAAAAAATGGCAGAAAGTTTCGAAACCGAAAATGATTACATTGATTTAATAAAAAATGCGAGAAACCCTCCTTTTATCACTCTACGACAAAATGATTATATTGTTAAAGATTTCGAGAAAAAAATTCAGAACAAATACAAAATACCAAATGAGATTCTGATCAGTAAAGCCGTAAAGATAGAGTATTTTCCAAATGGTAATGTAAACATTTATGAGAACTATACATGTCAGCCAGTTACTCACTTCATTGAAAAATCGGTAAATTTCGATGATTTGCAACGCAGCAGTCTTGCTAAAAGAATAGGTATAACGAAAGAAAAAAAAGCTGATTTACAATCATTATTAGGCTATGTATCTCTTGAGTCTCAACAGTATTACAAAAAATATTTAAAGCAAGTAAGAGTCAAATCCAGAAAATGTGAGGATTGACTATAAATGAATTCGTTTTCAGCGAAAACTCAAAAGTTTTAAATTAACTTTTAAAAGCTTTAACTCATACATTATTGTATATTTTTATTTTTATAGCTGTGATGTTTTTAAAAGACTGTAAATGTGCGATTTAAAATTTTTTTAAAAATATGAAAAAGGAATCTGGACTGTTATAGATATTAAAAATATTAGTAACAAAACAAATTATTTAAAAGACTGAGAAAATATGCGTATTTTAAATATTTAAAAAATATCAAGTATAAATTATAAATGTTAATAATGTTAATATTGTTAACAATTCTAATACTAATGTACATACATATAAGATACTGATCACAAAAAATAAACATAACTTTCTTCTTATTTCACTAATTTCTTATTATTCGAGCCGAAATAATTTCACATACTTCAAGAAAGAGTCTCCAGCGGGTTAAGTGAACGCGATGGGCCATCCGCTTTTTCTTGAAAATTAATTTTTTTAAAAACTATAACAGGAATTGATTTGGAATTTTGCAGAAAACTTCCTGAAATAGTAGTGAATAAATATTATAAGAGAAGTTCTTACAGTTTTGAAATTCCCTGCAGACATTTTATCGTCAAAAGTTAGAAAATGTGAATATCGACCTCTTTCAATTTTTAATTAAAAATAATAAAACAATAATTTTTTTTGCCTTTTCTAATGTTTTAATGGCTTTATTAGACCTAATTTAGTATGTATACCAAGTTGTAAACAAATTTATTACTATTTGTGAAAGAAATGATCGTTTATATTTCAAAATTTAATTAAATTTGAGAAAATTTTTTTTTGGGCTTTTTGCTTTTATTATAAAAAATATTGGATTTAAAAAAAAGTTTCTAAGAGAAAAAATATACGGTTTTTTATCTTCTATAAAGTAGTGCTTCTGAAAAATCCGAATTTTGAGTTTCAATTTTGAGGTGTTGATTGGCTTCAAAGCGACCGGCCGAGCGTACTGGTTGTTATTGTTTCCAGCCCCTCAATTAATGAAATTAATAATAATAATAGAAGTAAAATTTTATTATTTTATTATAACACACTTAGATTAATTATATTTGACATAGTTTATTTTCCATTTGATTTGAAATTTGACGCGCTATAATCGTTTCTCCTCAATTGTTGCTCTTCCACAATGCGCAAACTCGATTCTGTCTCCCATGTTATATATGTCCATGTCCAGTGATCACGTTTTTTTGTATTGTTTCGTGAATTTAATTTATTTGTATTAATCTTATTTTATCAAAATAAAAGTGCCTTATTGTGAAAATTTAGTGCATTAAATAAATATTTTTTCACAAAGATCATATAACTTTCATGATTGGTAAGTGTACACTCAAACTTAACCTCAAAATCTGCATACTTGAAATATTTGCATGGCATTTTTAAATTTATTCTTTACTTGTAAATATTATGTTTATTACTATTTTTAGTTTTAAAAATTTTTAAATTTATTATTTATTTGCAAATCTTATGTTATGTGCTACGTTTTTATCTAAGCATTTTTATAACTGCAATATAATTTTTTTCACCACATTGAAATCTTTCTACAATTTCTTTCGCTTCTCTAAATTAAAATTAAAAGCCTGTTCGTGTAATAACTGTCGCTTTCGGTTATGAAATTTGTGAACCATGGTTTTTCAAATTTTATATTATATTTTTCTTTTCTATACTTATATATAATAGTAATAGGGCTTATAATTTATGGTTTTTGTTTTTCCTTTTTTTATTTACTGGGACATTTTCATTTATTATTCTTGTAAATAAGTGCGACTTTTGTAATGCTTGTGGTATATAATGGGAATTTGAGTTTTCCGACTTTTTTAAATTTAGTGTGTTTTTCCTCCGACTTATTCTGATAAAATAAGAATTTTTTTTACTTTTGTAGTATAAAATATAAATTATTTTAATTTTTATGGTGTAAATTGTAACTAATCAATTTATTTATTAAATTTGTCCCTACTATTACAAAAAATTTAGTTTTAAATAATTTTGGTAAATTATCAATGATCATCAATCGGAGAATAATCTTTGACATTCTATTAAAAAAATGTTTAATTGAAAATATCATGATGAAGATTTTTTGAAAATCCTATTACGCTTTTTCAATACATGACAGATTTAATCTAATTTAACACTGCTGTAAAAGAAAAATATTTCTTATTTCATTTCAAATATATCTAAGCTATTCTAAATAGAATGGAAATATCTAAATTAACATAAATCTTATAGATTATATTATAATTAAGGATCAGATGCAATTTTTTAAGAACAAAAGTAAAATTTTACAACTAATTTCTAAAGAATTCTTGTTACGTTTATAAAATTGAGAAGTTCATTTAAAATTGCTGATAATAAAAGTAATTCGGGTTTAATAAATAGAGAAATACTTTTAATTAATGTTTCTCATTATAGATTGTTTTCGAGGTTTAAAAAAATAGAAAATCTATTAATCATTTTTGAAGAAAATAAAGAAGTCTCATTTGATTAAGAGAGTTGTATAGAGGTTATTTGAAATAAAATATATTTTGTATAATATAATAGTCATATATAATATATATAATGTAATATAATAATAATAAAATTCTCTTGATTCACAAGAAATTTTAAAAATTAATATAAATAAAAAAATGAAAAGTAAAATCCCAATTTTTACCCAATATTAGACGAAAAAATCACTGTGATCCCCATACTAGTTATTAGTAAATTGTTTTAAAAATATTATATTTAAGATAAAATTCTTGTTAGTGAAAAACGCATGAGTTTGAGGGATTTTTTTATGTAAGATAATTAAAGTACTTTTTGTAACTGGTTTTTTCTCTTAATTATTTTATAAATATATGAAAATTTTGCACATTTTTAATAAAAATTATTTTAAAACAGATTAATGATTTCGTTTGAAAACATTATCATTGGAAACCATAATGGACAAGGAAAAAAATAAAAGATTTCTCGACCTGAGTTTCAGCCAAAAAAATAAACGATTACGTATTGCGCGTTCTCAGAACAATCAAAATGATAATTCTTCAGAAAATTTGAGTGATGACGGTTCTGCAATAGATGAAGAGTTTTTTTGTTGAAAATAATGAACGTGAAACTTTGCAATCGGAGGAAACTGGAAACCACAATGAAAATAACGAATTGAATCTGAACGATGTGCATGATGCACACAATGACGAAGAACGTTTAAGTTCTGATACGGAAATTAGTGATGAAGAAATTGAAAATTCTGATTCTGAAAATAATGACGAAGAAATTCCTGCTGACTTATCTGAGGATAATTTTGACGAAAACAATGATAGAGAGATATTTTCAGACGACAACGATAGTGAAGAAGAAAATATTAATCTTCCTATAAAGGACCCCGCACGTTTTGCATGGAAAATGGCTTTCAGCCAATTTTTCTGAAACTTTGTAGTTTTGTAGTTTAAGGCCTCCTCAACAAAAAATCTTAATGGCAAAACTTAAAATAATGGACAGTTTTTTTGCTACAATGGCTCAAAGTTAAAAAACAATAGCATTATGGGCATAGACTTTTGTGAATTTAAAACTTTTAAAACATAATTAAATCTGCTTAAAACTCGTTACTCGGGGGTTTTTGGGGTCGCTGATTACGAAACCGAGTTTTGTTTTTTAAAATTCAAAATGGCGGATTGGTGTCTATCTTGCGAATAGGGCCTTGGGTTCTAACTTTGACTGTAGAAGGGATGCATCGTCCTTCGAGATCCGCACTTTTAGTTCACCTGAGATTGGGTATCATAAGACATGGAAGCAAGGACATCGGACAATGCAATAACGTCTGAGTATCTAACGAAGGGAATCCTGGGTCCAAGCTGGCGAGGTGGTAATACCCAATTATTTCCTAATTACCCTTGACACGGATTAAGACAATGAGATGAACGGTGTTAAAAATTCTAAGAAATACTTGCAGGGTAATAAAACGAATAAGCGCTTAGCGAGGGGGCGGTAACCGGTGACACTGAAATGTAGGGAAAGTAAAACTGTGAATCTTCCACAGATCATAGTGACAGCAAAAGAGGCAGTACGTCAAGCCTTCTCAATGTAAACAGCGAAAAAAGCGCTTAAAGCCTGATTCCGTCTGATTTGGACAACAAGATCATTAACGAAAACAGCGTTAAATGCGTTATATTTCGGAAAAAGGAAGCTAAGTTTCTTCTGAAAATCAAAAAGGAAGTTGCCAAGATGGTAAAATCTTGTGACATTCAAAACAACATTAATCGCACGATCAAGTACAGATTAAAGGTTCTTCATTTGGCAAAGTACCTAAGTATGGAGTCATTGGCTTTTAAATCAGGCGAATTCAAGCGATTTTCCAAAAAGTCGTCGACCTTTTTTGATCAGTCATTTTGAGCTTTGAAGAACAGCCCCCACGTTCATAATAAGCGACTCCGAAAACCCCCGAATAACCATTTTCAAGAGAATGCAATGATTATTTTTTAAAATCATCGACCTTTTTTGATCCGTCATTTTGAGTTTTGAAAACCAGCCCTCAGATTCGTAATCAGCGACCCCGAAAACCCTCGAGTGATGAGTTTCATGCGAATTCAATCAGATTTTAGGAAAGTCGTCCGCCATATTGGATCCGCCATTTTGAATTTTAAAAAACAAACCTCGGATTCGTAATCAGCGTCCCCGAAAACCCCCGAGTGATGAGTTTCATGCGAATTCAATCAGATTCTAGGAAAGTCGTCCGCCATATTGGATCCGCCATTTTGAATTTTAAAAAACAAACCTCGGATTCGTAATCAGCGTCCCCGAAAACCCCCGAGTGATGAGTTTCATGCGAATTCAATCAGATTCTAGGAAAGTCGTCCGCCATATTGGATCCGCCATTTTGAATTTTAAAAAACAAACCTCGGATTCGTAATCAGCGTCCCCGAAAACCCTCGAGTGATGAGTTTCATGCGAATTCAATCAGATTTTAGGAAAGTCGTCCGCCATATTGGATCCGCCATTTTGAATTTTAAAAAACAAACCTCGGATTCGTAATCAGCGTCCCCGAAAACCCCCAAATGATGAGTTTCATGCGAATTCAATCAGATTCTAGGAAAGTCGTCCGCCATATTGGATCCGCCATTTTGAATTTTAAAAAACAAACCTCGGATTCGTAATCAGCGTCCCCGAAAACCCCCGAGTGATGAGTTTCATGCGAATTCAATCAGATTCTAGGAAAGTCGTCCGCCATATTGGATCCGCCATTTTGAATTTTAAAAAACAAACCTCGGATTCGTAATCAGCGTCCCCGAAAACCCCCGAGTGATGAGTTTCATGCGAATTCAATCAGATTCTAGGAAAGTCGTCCGCCATATTGGATCCGCCATTTTGAATTTTAAAAAACAAACCTCGGATTCGTAATCAGCGTCCCCGAAAACCCCCGAGTGATGAGTTTCATGCGAATTCAATCAGATTCTAGGAAAGTCGTCCGCCATATTGGATCCGCCATTTTGAATTTTAAAAAACAAAACTCGGTTTCGTAATCAGCGACCCCAAAAACCCCCGAGTAACGAGTTTTAAGCAGATTTAATTAAGTTTTAAAAGTTTTAAATTCACAAAAGTCTATGCCCATAATGCTATTGTTTTTTAACTTTGAGCCATTGTAGCAAAAAAACTGTCCATTATTTTAAGTTTTGCCATTAAGATTTTTTGTTGAGGAGGCCTTAAACTACAAAACTACAAAGTTTCAGAAAAATTGGCTGAAAGCCATTTTCCATGCAAAACGTGCGGGGTCCTTTAACTGATGCCCAAAAAGGGCGTTAAAAAATTTATTTTTGACTGCTAATTAAAAGCATACGCAGTGTAATATTCTATTAAATACTTTGAGATCATATCCGTTTAATTTAAATTTTTTGCCCAAGGATGCAAGGACAATTTTGCAAGCCCCTACTAATGTTGCAACTCAATGAATTCGCCAAATAGCAGGTGGCGAATATCTTCACATTGGCTTCCAGTCGACTTTTAAAAGAAAATTAAAATCTGTTCCTCCAAATATATTGCCGGAGACTGTAGTGATTGGTTTTAGTACTGATGGTGCGAGATTAAATAAAGGTTCTAAACAGTTTTGGCCGATTCAATACCGAATTTTAAATATTCAAGATAATAGACCTATAATTGCTGGTGTTTTTATGGGAACTACAAAACCAACAAATCCTTTTGATTTTTTTGAGCAATTTGTTCACGAAGTTCGTCAAATGCAAATCCAAGGAATTAATATTCGCAATAGAAGAATTTTTTTAAGAGTTCACGCCTTTATTGCAGATGCCCTTGGAAGGGCTTTAATTCTAAACCATTATGGTCATAATTCAACGCGACCTTGTTCGAAATGTACAATCGAAGCTGAGTGGTATAGAAGAATGACTTTTGAAGGAGCAAGGGATCGTTTGCGAACAGATGAAGAGTATCGGAATTTAACAGATGAAGAACATCATCAAGGAAGAAGTCCTATAAGCGAATTGTTGGGTTTAGTTACTCAAGTGCCATTTGAAGGTTTGCATGCTCTTTGGCTCGGAAATGTTAAAAAAGTTCTCGTAGCAAATATTGACGGAAAGTACAATGTAGGAAGGATGTTTTTCAAGAGGATTGTTATCAACATTTTTTAATACTACATGCTTCATTGCAAACGCCCCTTGAAATGCGAGAATTTTGTCAAATTGCATTGGAAGAATATGTTACATTGGCCAGAGTAATATATGGATTGCAATTTTTATCATACAACGTTCACTGTCTGCGTCACATAGTACAAGATCTGGAACTTGGAGAGCATGAATCTTACAGTGCCTTTGCTTACGAAAATAATATGCCGGAATTTCGGAAATTTATACGAAAGCCAAGTCTTCCTCTTCAACAATACTATAAAAGGTGTGAAGAATTAAATGCTTTAAGTTTTGAACCACTTGACAATACCGTTCGAATACGCCCATCATTACAACATATGCACGAAAGAATTGTTTTTTCTCTATTTATTTTTTTTCATATATGGGGGGAGATGTTCCTGAAGTGATCCAATAGCTAAAATATGAATATTGAATTTTTTGAAAATTCATAACTATTGTATAAAAAGATAAAAAATGTTGACTCATATAATTTCAAAAAGTTTTATCTACTGCTCTTTCGAATGGTACAAAAAATTCAAAATTAAACCCTTTCCTTGAATATCAAAAATATTTTCCACTTTTTTTTAATAAAGGACCATTTTTATTTATTTTTTTACCTGTTAACATGAATTTTAAAATATATGCTTTTAATAAAAAATTAAACAAAATGTTGTTTTTTTTGTTTTCGAGATATGAATTAATTAATTAATGTTAATAAAAAAAGAAATATTTCACAAACAAATAAAGTTATCGTGATTGTTAATAACTTAACTTTATTTGCTTGAAAGACATTTCATTTTTAATTAACTTTTACTCCCAGATAACAAAACGCTTGAATAGTGCAAACATAAGGAGTCGCATACGTGCCAATTAATTCGCACTCAGTGATCTCATAATTGCATGCTGATGCGTCATCCATGGACGATCCTATGCGTCTCTTACATGAGTTCGCATTCAAGCGAGTTAAATGCGATCCTTGTGCTAGTACATTTGGGGTTAGAAACATCAATTGATCATTTAATACTTGTTATATAATACAATAAATATTATATTTCTGTTATCATTTTTTACTACTCTAGTTATTTATTAAAGTGAAGAGACATATTTATATTTTTCTTCTTCTAAGCCAAACTCAAAAAATAACCTAAAATTATACATGCACATGACCACCACTGATATCGAGGCCACGATTGGATCACTAATCTTATCAATAAATGTTGATTAATCGAACTTACCTCTATAGATCACAACACAAAGATATAAACACATTAAATTATAAATACGCACGATTTAAATAAAAATATGATATTATTCTTACCGCTTCTTATCTTATGAATTAGTTGACATAGACATTTTCCGGCTGTCAGCTGACTCAAGTGCATTACGCGCCACCTACATTCGGTAACGTGAATCAGACGCGGGAATTTTAATCTATTCGATGAATTAAAAATATCTAATTGGAAAGGAGGCATTAATTACTTAATTGATGAAATCGACATAGGCCGAAATTGATTTCTGATACCACTCAAAATGATTGCTACTGGAATTTTATATATTCATAGAATACAAAATTTTTTGACGGATTTCGTCACATGAATTTAAATAAAAATATATAAATTCATAAGTTTGTTATAAAATTCTCATATTTTTAAAAGTCCATTTCATATAAATCTAATCAACAAACTTTATTATTAACTTTAATTTATTCTCTAAATCTAAATTAGTAGCTTTTTACTAATAAAAAGACTAAATGATTTAGTAACAATTGAACTAACATTTAGTGAAATTTTACTAATTGTTAGTAGAATTTGACTAAAGAATTAGTCATTCCGCCTTATTAACAGTCAATAAAACAGTTTGACTAATTCATTTAGTCAGTCAGATGACTAGTAATTAGTGAAATAATACTAAAAAATCAGTTATATTTAACTAATAAAAAGAGGAAAAGTCTTCCACTAATATTAGTCAAATTTTACTACTTGTTAGTAGTATTTCACTAATTCAGATTTAGAGAGTAATAATTACTTTCTTATTAACTTTTATTAGTTATGTTGTTAAGAGAGAATTTTCGTCTTAACATAATATTACGCATGATTTAAGCTATTTAAATTAAATAATTTTTATTCTAATTCGCATACTGTGTGAGTTTATTGAAGGCGCATTTCAAATGCATTGTAGGAGATCGCATACGTGAAGGCATAAAGAGAACTTCTTGCTAGCATGAATGCGACTGTAAGCGCATGCGTCTCATCACCATACTGCTTTTGCATGCACCATAGGAGAATCACTAAGTGCGATCTGAAATGCGCGCATTATTGTTATCTGGGCTCATCCATTCATTCATATTTAAAAAACAAAATAAACGACATTTCGTTTAATTTGTTTATTAAAAGCATACATTTTTAACCTAATTTTAAGGGATATAAAAAAATAAAAATGATGCTTTATTAAAAAAAAGTCAAAAATAGTTTTTATATTAAAACAGGTGTAAACTTTTAATTTTTGAAACAAATTTTTATGAACCATTTAAAAGAACAAAAAAACCTTTTGAAATCATGTAAGTCAAAATTTTTTTATCCTATTATACAATAGTTAGGTGATTTTTCAAAAAATGCAAATACACAGCCACACAAAAAAAAAAAGTACCCGGGCCGGGGAATGAGACCACCATTTCTTGATGTATTTTGATGCGCTGAACACGAATCTGAAGTCCGTTTAGCTCCATCACGTCAGGATTTTGACATAACCTCAAAAAAAAATAACTGATTTTAAATGACAGGAGAAATTTTTTAAATAATGGCAGATTTGCTTGAATCTTGTTAGTCGGGGGTTTTTGGGGTCGCTGATTACAAATTTAACGTCAGATTTATAAAATTCAAAATGGCGGATCCAATATGGCGGACGAATTTTTAAAAAGTAGTTGGATTTTTACGAAAATTGGTATCATGGGGTTTTTTTGGAGTCGCTGATTACGAATTTAACGTCAGATTATTCAAATGTAAAATGGCAGATATAGTACGGTGGTCAAATATCTTTATGTTTCTACATGTTTTTGCATCGAGGGCATCTCCACGTGGTGACGGTGGGCAACGGAGTTTGTCCGCTATCCGGCTAAGTCCCTGGATAATGGCTTTGATGCCGTCATGGCAGACACACGTAGGAAACGTATTACGATGCAGGGACTCGGAACCCCAGTATCGGCGGTTGAGAGTGAGAAAGCAGACTCTCAGGCGTCGTCATCCAGCAACTGCAGCTCTTCATTGATGGGAAACTTGGCTAATGTAGAGTATAATACGACAAGAAAACAACCTGATATAGACTTAAACTCTCATATTTTTAGCAAAAAACGAGACCTTTTTTGTTATATTTGCAGTAAATTCGAGGTAAAGTCTTTGCGGAACAGGATTGACGAAGAAGTACGTAAACTGTATAATGAAATCTTCGGTTTTGACATTGATCTATCTTCTAATTGGGTTCCGAACATCATTTGTAATTGTTGCAGAAAGATGATCTTTGGTTGGAAATCTGTTAAAAATAAGGAGCTTATCAAATACTCTTATCCAACAGTTTGGACAAAACCTACATGTGAAGAAGATTTCTACTTTTGTATGAATGAAATAAAAGGTTTCAGTGTTAAAAATAAAAATATAATTTCGTATGTCACCGTTACATCAGTGACATCTGATCAATCTCAAAACCGAAGATTTCATTATACAGTTTACGTACTTCTTCGTCAATCCTGTTCCGCAAAGACTTTACCTCGAATTTACTGCAAATATAACAAAAAAGGTCTCGATTTTTGCTACAAGTATGAGAGTTTAAGTCTATATCAGGTTGTTTTCTTGTCGTATTATACTCTACATTAGCCAAGTTTCCCATCAATGAAGAGCTGCAGTTGCTGGATGACGACGCCTAAGAGCCTGCTTTCTCACTCTCAACCGCCGATACTGGGGTTCCGAGTCCCTGCATCGTAATACGTTTCCTACGTGTGTCTGCCATGACGGCATCAAAGCCATTATCCAGGGACTTAGCCGGATAGCGGACAAACTCCGTTGCCCACCGTCACCACGTGGAGGTGCCCTCGATGCAGACACATGTAGAAACATAAAGATATTTGACCACCGTACTATATCTGCCATTTTACATTTGAATAATCTGACGATAAATTTGTAATCAGCGACTCCCAAAACCCCTAGATACCAATTTTCGTAAAAATCCAACTACTTTTTAAAAATTCGTCCGCCATATTGGATCCGCCATTTTGAATTTTATAAATCTGACGTTAAATTCGTAATCAGCGACCCCAAAAACCCCCGAGTAACAAGATTCAAGCAAATCTGCCATTATTTAAAAAATTTCTCCTGTCAGTTAAAATCAGCTATGTTTTTTGAGGTTATGTCAAAATCGTGACGTGATGGAGCTAAACGGACTTCAGATTCGTGTTCAGCGCATCAAAATACATCAAGAAATGGTGGTCTCATTCCCCGGCCCGGGTACTTTTTTTTTGTGTGGCTGTGATATTCATATTTGACTAAAATATTAATCTTTTTCTTTCTCTACTGTTTTTGATAAAACTTAATATAATAATTTATGGGCGAAGTACTTACTCGTAGTAATAAATGTTATTGAAATCACATCTTATTATGAAATATAAAATGATTGCTTCAGTTAAACAAAAAAAAAGTTATAAATATATATATATATATATATATATTTAAAATAATAATAATTTTAATAATTTAAAAATTCAATATAAATATTTAATTAAACATAAATTTTCTAAAAAAGTTTAAAGTTTTGTAAAATGTTTGTTTTTTATTATTTCAGTACTTTCAAAACAATTAAAAATATGAATAAACATATAAAATAAATTTACTTTATTCAGTATTGCATTTAGTTATCTTTAATACTCAATATATATATATATATATATTACGGTGTTTATATTTTAATTAAATTTTAAAATCAATTAATTGTCTATTTTATAATAATAATATTATTATAAA